CATGGGCAGTGAGTAGCTGGTAACTTTGGTACTCAGCTAAAAGAGCTGCATCACTTTGTTGAAGGCTCTGAGGTACAGAAATAGTTATGTGATAGGATACCGAGACTGTACATTTCTGGTGTACTGGTGCTGATCTTGTACCCACTATGTGCATAATTATAGCTGTCACTGATTGGGAAATTCAGTTGTATGGCCTCTCAACTCTAAGACTGGGAATGCCCTGAAATGACAGTCTCTGCTTCCTAGTGAGATTTTAAAATTTGACCGTAGTAAATCACTTAGGCTTTCTGATAGTATTAAATTAGATTATTTAATTTGTACATTAGTGTGCATATGTGCCAGATCTTCTTATTAAATGATCTGGTTATGATTGAGTTTCACCAATTCCTTTAGAAAGTCAAGGTCTTTTCCAGGAGCAAGATCAGAGGTGAAGTTTAAAGTTCTTCTACTCTCTGACAAAAAAGGGAAAACCATGTGCAGTATTTCAGTATATATGCACTGAAACCTTGTTGTCGTAGTATTTCTTCTGTCTTTGGTTTTAGTAGGCATAATAGACTTTGTCAACTCCAAAAAAGAGCTTTATTTTATTTTATTTCAATTTTACTGCACTGGGGTGTTATTTATATAGTCCCAGTTCAGACTGATGTAAAGAATATGAACCTTTTTCTTTAAGGATTTTCCTTTTTTTTTTTTTTTTTGTTTACTGATACAGTTTTGGCTTGTATGTTTTTCTTTAAGTGAATAATTAAACTTTTTGAGGACAATGTGGAGCATTTTTCTTAAAATGGCTTAGTTACATTTGACTTTTCTGAGCCATCTGAAGGAAGTTTCCATCTTACGAAAAGATACAACATTTTCAACTTTAGCTTGCAATATGATAAGGAAAAAAAGTCACCTTTTTAATTTACAAAATGTTTTAGTGCTGTAATTGTTAGAAAGGAAATTGAAAAACATAATATGGTTCATATCTTGCAGGCTTTTTGTCAAAAGGGTTAAACTTAACTGAGACAGATTAGAAACTGAAGTTTGGTTTCTCCTATATGACTTTCATATGACTAGTAATAGAAATGGTAATATTTCTGCACAGCACTTGCCATCAATAGGCAGCTTAGAAATGCCAGCTGTAATTAAAATACTTGGATATAGAAAAACACTTGACTATTAACATGATTGAGCAAAAATAACTTAAGTAAGTAGCATTGCTATTTATATACTCTTTTGGTGCAGAAATCTCTTTACAAAAATTATCTCAAAACATAATTACTTTGAAAAAACTTTTAACAATTATCATAACTTAAATAAATCTTTTCCTATCGCTTCATAGAATTTTCATTTCTAAATAAATGAATTGAAACTATGGCAATTGAACATTCTAGTAATACAGTATTTTATTAATTAATAATTTGATTGTTGATTTAAGACTCATTTTAAACTCTCTTTCCTGCCACTGCAATTTTCAGACAAAATTTAATTTTCTGATGAATTGTTTTGAAAATGATTAATTTTGCAACAGTAATGTTCATTTTCGGACTAAAAGATTCAGAATAAAATATTTTATGAAATAGTAGAATATACTTTATGTGAAACTTTAAGTGGGTGAATGGCATTCCCTTCCAACTCAGTGGTCATAGGAATGAATGCTGATTCGGTCAGTACTAACTTACCTGGATTCCTCCTTTGGGCAAGAAGCAGGAAGGTACCCCTCTTTACCTGGCACTGTTGTAACTCCCTCCCACCAGGGAGGAGCAACAGGGGTTGTTTGTGCAGGTACAAACCACCTGCTACTTCTGATCTTGAATTGAGACTCTTCCCCCTATAGGCAGAATCCCTTAGAAATACATGAGCTCTATTTCTGTCAGTGTATGGGTAGAATTTATACATCTGCCAAGTAGATTTTAAATGCATCAAACAGGGTGTTAGCATTTTACACTTAAATTTAACTCTCTGCAGGATCTTGGGCCTGTTTTGGTGGCATAAATTAGTAGAAAAGCTGTTGAATTTAACTCCATCAGATTTTAAAGTCGCGCAATGAATCCTCAAGTAATATAGCTACTTTATATGGCAGATGTACCCTTGAATTCCAGGCTTCGGGAATGGCCCTTTAGGCAGCTGGGAAGTTTGAATCACCCCGGACTTGGGGATGAATTACCCTGAACTTCCATATGTCTGATGGTGATGTAAAACTATTTTTCATCATCTGTGTTATTCTGCAAAAGGAACTGTTGCTCACACCTTGTATTATGCCTGTAAGAAGTACAAGAGAATGAGGAATCAGACCCTATATATTTCTAGTGCATTGGCCTGCTTAAAAACTTAATTGGGGGGATTAATTCAGAAATGTCACTTATTTTTCTCAAAAATGAGTGAAACTTAGCTTTTCTTACTGCTTGTTAAGTGCTTGTTAAGTGCATCCCTTCCATCAAATTGAAGGGATGGAATAATATATTTAATGACTTTAAAGGCAGATTAAGCACTTCCCTTGTCCTTTATTGTTTTTGATGCTCTTTCTGTGGGACTTCATGACCTCTTGATACTTTTTTTCCTATGAAAAGCTTCTTTTTAACCTGATCATATGCACTGTTAAAATGGAGAGTGAGAATTGGAAATCATTTTTGCTAGAAACTGCTGCAGCAGGTGCCATTTAAATTCCAGGTGATTAGGAGGAGATCAAAAGAATGTAAGTAGGAAACCTGAAAAAAGGCTTGAAAAAAATTTAAAAGGCAGTGTAGAAAGTATGAGAGTTGGGATTCATATGCGGACAGAAACATTTACTGACTGAAATGGCTGCTATGCAAATGAAACACGTATACACATGAAAGAGCATTTAAGCTGTCTTTCTCAAAATCTAGCATGCGTTGTCATTGAAGATACCAAAAAAGTAATTCCAGAAGTTTTAGATTATCTTCCTTCAGTAACCATATTGCTTCCACTTTTTCTAGTTCTTTTTAAACAAACAGTTCAAGAGCTCCATCTTTGGGTTTAAATTATTAATATTAAAAAATATTACTTTCCTTCTGCATTGATTAAGTAGTGCCTAAACATCCCATGAAGTTATGTATATCTGCTCATACCTGCAGTGCTTAACTTTTCTAGATGCATTTATTCAGCTGCCGTCTCATAAACTTTGAATACTTGCTGTATAAGATTGTTGTTTTCAGTTTTTCTCTCATTAATTTGTTTTTGGTGGATTATGTTTTTCCTTTCCAATTATGACACATAAATCAACTTGACAGTTCATAAAATATTTATGGATCATGTGGCCAGATAATAGTGGCAGAGGAATTTTAAACCGGGCTGTTTTTCAGGTAGGATTTATAATTTGCTATAAATTAGTATGCTTTTATTAAAATCAAAGCATATGCTGATTTTTGTCAATGGAGAATGATCATGTTCTTTTGGGAGCTGAACTTTAGTGAAAAATTAGTTTTGTTTCTGCCAGTGCAGCAGAATTCTAAAAAACTTAACATAAATATTCCAGTGAGAAAATTTGAATCCATTTTGTTTTTCAATAAAAACTCTCCAATCCTTCTAGAAGGTCTTTGGGGAAAGTGAAGTTATTTGAAACATTTTGCTCCTCAAAGTTGTGGAAGTGGTACACAGTGAAGAAATATTGTGAAGTAAATTAAACTGTAAATTAATGTACTGTAAGTAAATTAATCACAGAAATCCATCATATATGAGACTACTCTTATGATTATCTTCTCTCTGTTTTTTTTTTTTCCTCAAGCAAGGTTTTATTTCTTCCTACTTTCTAAGTATTTTCAATGGTGTAATCTGCTTACATTCTCAAATGACAAGTACAGGCAGTTCTTTTAACTTACCTTGATTATCTTGTCCTGATAGCTGAAGAATCTGTCTTGCTTCTGTTTTCCATAACAACACTGTAAAGAAGTACAATTACCATTTGTATAGTAGATGGGGTAAATTGGTAATTTCCCATTATTGCTTAAACGAAGATAAATCAAAACAAAGCTCGACCCCACTCTCATTGCCCCCAACGAATGCCTTAATCTACAACCAGTTTATCAGAGTATTTATTGCTGCTTTTAGTTTTTGAATATTGAACCTAAGTTAGCAAACAAGCACTGATCTGGTGCCACATAATTATTTAGCCCATCTTCATAAAATAATTGCTACTGATATGTTCAATATTTTATGGCTGTCTTTTGTATTCAAGACTTTCTATTCCTTTGTTATTTACTTTCTTTCCCAGATTCCCTGAAAGAATTAGAAATCACAAGCATACCTTAATTCCCAGTAGCCCATGTTCTTTCCAAGCAGGAGGTGGAGACAAAGAACACAAAATGCTGAGAGGTCTAATAGCCATTATCTTTGTGCTGGCTTCAGTTCTGTATCTCTGGAAACTCTGTAAAAGAAACTTAGATCTGACTTGTACTAGAATGCCCACCTGAAAGATACTTAAGTTTTCTTTCAGAAGCCTTGTATGTCTTGCAAAGCTTTGTGAACTTTATGAATGTGTTTTTAATTTCTATTTAAAATAGAAGAAATGCAAATTGAAATAGCCATAAAATACCTTATATTTCTTTTCATGGGGAAATAAAGAAAATCACAGTCGTGACAGAATCCAAGCTCATTACTTCATTAATGGTCAGTATACACAGTGATTGACATCCTGACTGAGGGTACCGTAACAACACAGCTAAATTTTACCTTCATTTCTGACAGTGCCTATCCCCATTATCCCCATTTTGGACAGTCTTTATTTAAAATGGGACAGTCCTTTTGTAAAACATGAATATATTTAAAACTAAATATAAAATTAAGTGCTGTTTAGAATAAGGATGCTTTTGCTATATCAGGCCTTTGTCATAGTTTTTTGTTGCCTTAATGGGAGTCATGTTGTATAAGACATTAGGCAAGTATTAATATCCATTGTCGAGCAAGTCTATTAAAGGGTGTAGATTAACTTAAAGTATGCTGCGTGCTTTTTCAGATAAATTAAATAGTTGTATTAATGTAACTGTTTTATCTTTTAACAGTTCAGCCCTCAAAGAGATTTTTAAGAAGTGCAGGGCCAAGACTCAATAGCTTAAAAATAGTGGGATCTGTCATATTTCCAGGTATTTTTCTTTAAACATAGTGTAGCAATTTTAGTGAAAATATTGTTTTTACCAAGAAAAGGCCCTTCTTTATCATATCCCTTGTTGTTGAATTGTTTTAAATGGTTTTAAGTAGTTTAATTAATTACAATTCTCTGCTGACTTATGTATACTTAATAGGCTATCCCACAGCATATATTTCTGTCATTGGAATTTATTTTTTGTAGGGTTTTTTATTTTTACTCATAATTTTTATGAAATCAACATAATTATTTTCTGTAATTTTTAGAAAAATAACAATGTTCTGTGTACTCTTCCACCTGGCTGTAGGACTCTTGCTCCAAAATGCTGCTTTCTTGCACTGTAGGTATTCCAACTTCATCTTACTTGTTATGTATACAGAACCTGAGACGTGAAATTTATGTTAAATTCTACAACAAAAATTAAGAAGAGATAAGAATTGATTACTAAGTTAAATACATCTAACTCCAGAATATAATATTATCACTTTCTCTGCTCATTAAACAAAACACTTATTAGAAAATCTGAAAATTAAGTTAAAGACCAGGCTGTTCCTCATTGCCATATATTTACTCATGTTGCTTTTTCTCTAAATGCACATTGCCAGCTTGGTTTTGGTAATACTCTTCCCCATAGTTTTCTCCATGTGTGTTTTCCAGTTATAGCTTTACTAGTAGCATATCTAGAAGTGATACTTCTGTTGTTTGGGGGAATGCTAAAAGGCAACATTTTTTGTGGGTTTTTTTGTACAAATTCTTAGTCATAGCAATTTTTGTCCAAAGGTGAAACAATTCTGGGAAATAATTTGTTTTTAAAGGTTTCTTTTAGTAGTTTAACTTATAATATTATTTAGCATTGATGTCAAATAATGGCTCTGAGTGGTCTAAAGGTTCATCCTATTAGCATACTTTTTCTCTCTTCTGATTCTGACTCATGTCTGTAAACATGGCTACTACTTGAACGACACAGGGCAATTTGAAAGTTAGAAGGTAAGATTAAAATGTTTTGTCTCAACTCTGTTTCTGAACAATTAAGTATTAATAAAAAATGTTTCCACCTTCTCTGGGACAGACCATTGTGAGTATACTAGACTTGGCTCCCGTGTTCTTTTGAGATGCTGGGCAACATCTCTATTCTGAGGTTTTTTTTCACCAAAATTTGGCTAAATACAATGCTACACTATTAAAATCCTGCACTTTTAAAATACCTGACATAAATGTTATTTCTTGGATCACTATCTAAGGTAAATATTTTTATAGTAGAGAGATATGATCAAATAAGAAAAGTAGCAAAGAACTTTAACTAAAAGAGTAAGACTTTATTTTGAAAGAAGAATAATAAGGTTATACCTGGTAGATATTTTTTCAGCTGTTATTTTCTATCATATGCCTTTCTGTTATATTATTCCTATGATACATGTTTACAAAACTGTCATGGAAATTTACAGTGCTGGAACAGAATTTACCATCTTGGCAGGTTATTGGAATAATGACACCATAATTTTGTTACTTTTTATTATGGATATGAATTTTGTTAATATTGCTACAAGACAGAACAAAGCGACCTGGAGGAAATAAAAAACAAAATGTGAAGTGGGAGAGATATGCAATGTTACTAAAGCCAGTCGGTTATACTTTGAAGAAAAAAAAAAAGATTTGCAATGGAAAAAGACTAATTGTATTGGCAGTTGCATTAACATGTAGAATTCATATTAGTTTTCATGCTTTGGGGTTAAAAACTGAAACACCACCTGTAAATGACATTTATTTCCATGATATACTATTGTACAATTGAAAATATGTACTTTGCTGTTTTCTGCAATTTAAGCTACTGTAAAAAAACGATTATTAGCTGGGATGAACATATCTCCTGATCTTAAGACTATCAAAATGCTGAAGTTAATTCTTATGTATTAAATGTTATATCTAAGTCTTTATTCTGTTTAAAAAATTTAATACTGTAATATGAATGTAAGTGGCTTTTCATTTTTTTAATGAAAGCGAACAATCATACTTGAAGAGGAGAGAAAACTGTGGTGGCATTACCGCCAGTTGCCACAATGGAAAAGTGAAAGCTGTTTTTCAGAGCATTAATCGCTTCCTGCAACAAATACTTAAACTGTTTTCCACTTGCAGGGAATCTGAAATAGTCAATGGTAAGGTAACATTGTGGTAATTTGCTTATTTGATTCAGTTTGAATTATTAGTCAGATTCTCCAAATCACAAGTGTAGTAGCTGTAATGTTTTATACTAATTGTAGCTTTTCAGTGGCATTAGGGTATACAGAGCATGGTATATTCAAGTTTAGACCTCACTAGACCATAAATATCTAGCATCCCGTGCTCCTGAAGAGGACAAATGCTTTGCAGAATGTCAGTGGGAAGGGAAATAAAACAAATTGTACACACCGAAATCCTGCATATTATGGAAGTGATTATGACTACACCAATTGTAGCTTTTAGAAACAACTAGAGATCTAGAAGCACCTGTATGCTACAAATCGTATACAAGACATGCACACCTGCTTTACCATGGGAAAAGACAAAGTAAATCCTTACCTTCTCAGTTTGCTTCCTATCTCATTATGTCTGAATTAAACAATAGACAGCTCACATTTAGTGAGCTACAATACTAAACCCTTTTTAAGCAAATACATCATGCACTGGTAAAAGGTAATTGCTAATAGAATGGAAACAGCAAGCTTTCAAGTCTGAGTATCCTGCAACTTCACTCTCTCCATGTGTGTGTTGGAGACCAATTGAGACAGAAGACTGCAGAAGCCCATGCTTGTGAGAACCTACTAAGTGACATACTCCATTCAGGAGGATGTTACAGTGCACTGTGCTTCTTGTTTACACAACCAGATAAGCCTAGAACTAGAAAGAATTTTCTTCATTTTATTTTCCAGAGAAAACAAACCTGCTCTCTATTTTGTATTTCATTTTGATGGTAGAGATAACAGACCCAGTCCCAAAATTAGAACTCCATTCAAGATCATTGTTGAACCACCGTCTTGAAATGTATATAGCTCACTGTTAGGATACTATTTATAAATACGTGATGCTAATAATAATTTTTTTTTCAGTTAAAGTTTATGTCAAGCTGAATCACAACAGTCCACGTATTTTATGTCTTACAAATCATCTGCGAAACTTAGAACTGATTGATCCAATATTCCAGTGGAATGGACCACATGGTGATCTTTCTTCAGGTAAGGATTTATTTTCTTACATGTCCCTCCACACCCTCTCCCCTTTCCCCCGCTCCCTTCTCAAAGCAGCATGAGGGTTATAAAGGTGGAAATGTAAATGGAGAAGTAACTGAGGATACTTTGCAAGTGTTAGTATGTATATCGTATAAATTAACTTTCACTTTTCAGAAAGAAAGGGGTGAGATAACCAAACTAAAACACATTTTCAGATCTCTGTAAAGAATGGTGCCATTTCTAAAGAGTACTAGATGGAGCGGGGCATGTTGCATGCAACAGAGGCTGAGGATGACATTCTTTGCTGCACTGAGGGACAGCTGGGAGTATTCTGCAAGGATAGAATAGTAGGATGATGGGTGGTGTGATCTAGCTCAACTGCCTGCTCAATGACAGACTACCTTCAGATATGAAGTTGCTCAGGGCCTTGACCACTTAAGTTTGGGGAATCTCTATCCTTGGAGATTTTCTGTCTTTTCTGTGCAACCTGTTCCTCTTTTTTTCTTATTTTCAGTCATAATTTCCCTTATTGAAACTTGTCATTGTTGCTGCTTGTCCTTTTGTGGTGCACCTCTTAAAAAGTATGGGTTATTCTTCCCTGTATCTCCCCTTAGGTAGTGAAGGACTGCGATTCCCTCCTTAGACTTCTCTAGGGTAAAAATCCCAGTTTCCTCTGCCTCTTGTCCTATGCTCCAACTCCCTAATCATCTCAGAAAACCTTCTTGTTGACTTGCTCCAGTCTGTTAGTTATCTGTCTTGAACTGAGGAGTCAAAACTGGACACAGTGTTCCAGAGCACCCAATGAGTGCTGAGGAGGGAGAGAATAATCGCTTCTTTTGACCTGCTGGATTTACTGTTGCTAATGCAGCCCAGTATGCAGTTAGCCTTCACTGCTGCAAAAAATCACTGTTTCTGATTCATGTTCGGTATAAATTCCATCAGGACTCCAAGGTACATTTTTGCAGCGCTGCTCCCAAGTCATGGCTGGTCCTCATCTGCATACGTTGCTGCTCTTACTGTTTCAGGTCTAAGACTTTGCATTTATCGCTGTTGAACTTCATGAGGTTTCTGGCAGACTGTCTCTCTAGTTGTGCAAGGTCCCACTGACTGGCAGCAATGTCCTGTAGTGTATCAGCCCTGAGGAAAGCTATTCATAACTGGCTGCTAGGTAGACCAATCTTCAAAATGACCATGCAGTCAGTTTTTCATCTATCTTGTATTCCACTCATCTAGAACATATGTCCATAGTGGGGCTACAAGGATGTGATGGATGACCATACTGAAATCCTTGCTAAAGGCTTTCAGGGTATATGACATCTACTGCTTTCCCGTCATCCTCAGAGGCAGTCATTTTATTTCAGAAGACACTCAGGCTGGTCAGCCATGATTTGCCAATAGCAAATTGATGCTGCCTGTTCTCTATCGCTGTCTTGGCATTCATGCATCTGGAAATGACTTCCAGCAGTTGTATCATCTTTGCAGAGCCTGAGGGGAGGATGGCTGACCTGTGATTCCCTGGGTCTTCTTCCTTGCCTATTTTTACGATGGATGTATTTTTTTGGTCTTTCTGGTCATTGGGGACCTCATCACCATCAAAATAGACAACAGTCATTAATTAGTCAGATCCCTCAGCATCCTCAAATATATCTCATTCTGGTCTATAAACTTGTACATGTCCAGCTCGCTTAAGCAAGTCCCTAACACCACACTTCTCTCTCCCTGTAGCATCTCCCTGCTTCTTTTAGCATGAATTAAAAAAGAACTTCTGTTCTGTTTTAAAACATGCCAGTTTTCACCGACTCCAGGGAACCTCTGAATTTGATCACATTGCTTTTTTGTCCATCATGCATGTGAAATGCCTCCTGTGTAATAGAGGCATATTAAATCATATAATGTAATTCACATCACAAAATGTGATGTGAAATGTCTTACTGAACCTGCTGCAGAGGAATAACATGGAAAAAATATTAGATTTAAGAAAAGGGTCGAGAGCTTAATCACTTTTAAAAGTTCATTTTAAAGCTAACAGTCTGGTTTGTGAACCCAAATTCATCTGAGTAGGCAGTATTCATCCACATAATCCCATGGAGCAAGGCATTTTAAGTGTTGTTTCTTTTATAACACTAGGGGGAAAAAACAAAACAAAACAAAAAACCAACAACATGACATGCTCTTGATTTCATGATCCAAAAGGAGATTCTTTACACACAGACATACCATTAAAATAATTAATGGTCTTTTCCGGTATATGAAGCATTCATTGTTCAAGATAGGATAAAATTCTATAATAAACTCAGTGACTCAATCCATCAGAAGAACACTTTTCCATTTCTGCTGATGTACTTTCAAAAAGTATTTGTGACCAGATCTCTTCACTGATTTCAAAGCTTTGTCTTTTGCAGACTTCTTGTCATCTTTGCAGTTCAGTAATGCATTTTATAAGTATAGCAACGCTGCCTGTGATATATCTTAAAGGTGCTCCAGCTATCCAATCAACTAACGGTGTTGTTCCTTTTGGCCCACACAGGGGCCAAAAGCATATGCCAAAGCTCAGAAACATCGTTCTTAAATCTATGCTGGTTTTCTGACAATATTAATCTCATAGCTATTCCAGCATACAGTAGCAAATGACATCCCAGTTTATAGACTTATCATCCTGAGTTTTAATCATCATCAGATTAAAAACCTCTTCATCCAAAAAATGAAAGACAGTGTGCCATTAATGTGAGAGCCTAGGCTGATAAGGAATCCCAAACCATTCTTACCAAAGAATTTGTACTTCCAGTCTTTTTAATAGTACTCTTTTTTACCAGCACTTGATTTTTTTTTTAAACGCAAGTGATATATATGACAAAACTAAATTAATTAAAAGATTAAATGGTTTATTGAGGAACAAAGTTGTCCTACGCCCTCCTGCCAAGTATGTAAAAAGATGCACTGCAATCAGGCTATTTTTTTCCCAATATCTTTCTTAAAATTACATACCAGGAAAATAAGCGTGCATCGATAGTAACATGTTAGTTTGAATAGGAGTGTGGCTTTGAAGTTAATTGCTTGACTGTACCCACTTACCACATTTTGTTTGGATCATGGTCTGGTCTTTGAGTGCACAAAGTAGATTCCTTTTGGATGAAGCTAATTGGAAAGGTTTACTTCGAGAAATAATGTGTGCTCAATCTGTAAAACCAGATTAGGACTGGTCTGAAGTAAAAGCCCTACGATGTGTGTAGTATAGATCTCATGTCCTTAGCATTGATTTTTCAGTCTAAAAATATGCTGCTTTCGCACCACACTAATTGTCTAAGCTTCCATCATCTACATAAAAGGTCTAACTTATTTAGGATGTTAAAAAGATTTTTTTTTTTTGGCATCTGAAAATGGAAATGAAAATCCATTCTCAAAATATTTTATCAAAGTATTTTACCTTGAAGTCTATTATAATCGACTCCAGTGGTTCCCAAGGTTTTCTCTGACAGCTGCCAGCAAGATGGGCTGCATATTACTATTTGAGAAACCCATATCTATATTGTTACTGTCTGAGGACTTTTAAAGTCAGGAAAGAACTCATCAACTGTCATCATGTAACCCACATGCAGGCTACATGGGACAACTGTATGGCTCATTATCGGTGCCCAAGTCTGACCTTAAGCAGTGCTTTTCTTTCTCTTTAAAAAACTAGTTAAAGAACCATGCTCATGATTTGTCCTTTGAAGTAGGATCCTGCTTCCTCTCTGCCTTGAACTAAGGAGTTGCGTTAAGACTTCGGTCACTGTAACAATGCATATCTTTCCATACAGAAGGATTATTTTACAGTCTTAAACATACATGATTCCCACTTTGGCATAAACATATAATTTTTTTTGGAAGGTCCGTTATACAACACTTGCTTAACTTGAACTTCCCATCTTGCCTACTTTGAAGTTTACTGCATGTTATACACCACCAGCAGCTAATTAATGAGGCAGTTCCTGAAGACTGAAAGGTTAGTAGTCAGTTTGACTATATAGAGGTATAAAAAGAGATTATTTGCCCTCTTTGTCCTTTTTTCCTGAGAGTTTTTTGCTCTTGGAAGTGGTTAGTGGAGAGAACAAAAGATGTCTGAGATCAAATAAAACCAGGTTTCTAGGACTGCTTTGTCAACCAATACTTAAAAACCCAGCAGCAATAAGGCATATTTGTGTAATGCTGAACTGAGTGACACCCAATCAGCTCCAGTTTCTGAGTCCTGTGCCTTCAGCTGAATCCCTAGTATTATTATTTTGTTGCCAGCTTAACAGTAAATAACCATTTGGACCCTTACTTTCTCCATTTTCTCATGATGACAACTAAATTTATTTCATTTTTGTCTTTACTAGAAAATAGCAGTGTGCAAATATCACCAACAGGAACTTTAATATTGAGACACTTCAACCTGAGTGGAGTTTACACTTGTTCCATTGTTTATAAGCTAACAGCAATGCAACCTGATAAAAACCTTGTAATAAAATATCTTATTTATGGTAAGTTATCAATCCAGGTAAGTGTGTTGTTGCCTTGGAAAAGTTTTGTTTTTTAAAATGTGTGTTGCTATTTTTAAATAAGTAAGTAGGCTTATTTAGAATTTAATTTGCAGAGATAAAGACATTCTGTTTCTCTGGAAAATTGTTTTTAATATTAGTTACTACCAAGCAGTTCATTTAATGTCATTTACAGAGCCTTAAATGATGCTCAGTGGCTGACTGAGAAACTTATGAATACAGTTCTTTTTAAAAAAACGAAAAGTAAAACATAATGAAATGTAACAAACTGAGTAGGCAGTAATCCTTAATAGCATTAAAATAGTATAATTTTAAACAGAATTATTCTTTATGAGATTAATTTTAGCACAGCTGTATGGATTTATTTCACACGTTAATGCCTTAATTATTACCTATTTTTTAAATACGTATCATTTAATGATGTAATATTTGTAGCTTATTCTTTCCTGTTCTGATTACATTTCCTTCTGTCAGCAGGTAAAAAGTCTTTGATAAAGTGAAAGATTGTAAAGGCAAAATCATTTATTCATTACTAGCTCTCTTTTTCTTCTTTAAAGGATATTTTATTCTTGTGGAGATGTAGGCAAGAGCTCCTATTGCCTTCAGCAATCTTGAATTTAAAATGCGTACCAGCGATCATTTAGAAACATGGTAGAGCACAATAACCTAAATTAACCTCTGATGTAAATTAATTTTGCTTTGTCACAGTAGCCTTCATCAGAATAACCATGACTTTTAGCAGCTAGCTTGCTTGACAGAACTGGAAAGGAAAAAGTTTCTTTGAAACAGTTTTGATGGAAAAGTTTACAGTTTTCAGTAACGCAGACTTACATCCTTCAGTAAGGATCCAATCTGAATGTTAGCATACAAAATTCAAGTTTCATACTTGTATACAAAAAAATCTGGAATATGCAGCAGCAAGGGAAAGGAAATGGGGGAGGCAAAAACAAGGTAGAGGATCTAATGAGCTGTCTTAATTGGGTACCATATTTTGTATATTCTGCTTCTTCTTTCAGCTGGTTTAGTTTCTATTCCTTTGTCCTTTCTTCCCCACCGCCCCCTTCTCCTTTCTGTGATTATACCCACACCATGACCGCTGTTCTTCATTCTTTTATTCCTATTTTTTATTTAACATTGTGCTCTGTTGATCTTCAGCTTTGGGTAAGTAGAGTGGTTATCGTGAAATAGCTAGAAACACGCATTTTATGGTACATTGGCTTATTTGTAAAAGATGCCCAGGTGTGCATTTAGCTTCGCAGTAAAGGTGAAATAATTGATCCATCCATAAAAGTATATTTCATACCTATATGGAATCTTCTTCAGTTACTTCTTCTCACAGAGAAGGAATTCCTGTTCATCTTATTAGTTGCATCCTCTATTGATCTCTGGGGAAGAGGATTCAGTTTTTAAGCCCTTTAAAATACTTTTGTGATAGTTGACTAAAAAATATATAACATACAACTATAAATGGCCGTAATGTGTGAGATAAAATACTGTGTCACTTACTAAAGTATTTTGTATGCTGAACCTTAGCTTTCATAATCCTGATCCCTTTACTGTAATCTCCTGTTGATTTAAAAATTAAAAAATTACAATAATAAAGAGTAAGACTTACCTATGGATATAAATAAGAATGTTGACTTGTAAAAATCTCTTAAGTGTTTCCAACTGGCCCAGCATACACTATTTTATAATTAAAAATTCTCTAGGGGTGCAAAATAGGCTTTGTTTATAAATTAAGGATTTAAATTGGCAATTTTATTTTCAAATATACAAATTACTTCTTTTTATTTCATATATGTTCCTCATCATCTTCCACATATTTTCCTGCAGCTTATTCTGATCCTAAAAATTACTATGAGTTCACAGCCCGGTATCACGCAGCCCCCTGCAACAGTTCTCATAATACTTCTTTTGAGAAAGCATTGCTTCAGATACTAAGCAAACTTGTTGCTGAAATTTCTTGTGAGGTTACATTAATTCAGTCAGAATGCCATCATGTAAAAATGCAGAGAGGAGGTCTACAGAATGAAGTCTTCTTTACATTTTCAGGTAAAAATCCACCTTGCTTTTAAAGAATGGTTAGAATTTTTATAGTTAATGGAATGTATTTACTGCTTATATGCAGAAAGTATTGTAAGGATTTAAATAAAGTTTGATTTTAAAAACGCTTCCAAGTATTGGATGTGAAATTCATGTCAATATCAAAAAGATAGTTGTTCTACTCAAAAGTGCATATTTTACGTTATTTCAGAAGATCTTTAGAACTTTTTATTGCTGTGGATAGATCAATATGTTTTTAATTTTGTGTCATAAAACATTATCAAGGGAACATTATTCCCTTGTTGCACACTAACATAGGAAGGAAGGTGATACAGTGTATTCTGTAACTCCCCAGATTATCTTCATCTAGCCACCTACAACAGGTATACAAATCACTCCATGCCTTGGTCTTTATAAACAGCTTCCAAATGGAAGACTGGATGTCTAATTTTCAAGAACTAAAGTTAAGTAAGATGAACTTCAGTACTTTTCGTTCTTTAAGTGGTAACAATAAAAGAGGGAGATTTCGTAATTGTCATAATTTTCCATTTCTTTAAAACAAAAGGAGCCTAAAGGAGACCTGGGTAAAACTGAGTTGTCAAAAATATTGAGTTGTCTTGATTTAAAGCAAATCATCCCAAGGAGGCTTGGGAAGATGTCACCAAATTATGGGATATTTAAGGATTCTTACTGAGTGTGATTATGTATTGTAATAATTATAAAACTTTTTATCTGATATTTGGGTGTGTTTATACATAAATGAGTTTACGTTCATATATAAATGAAGACCTCACAGTGTCTTAGTTACTTATCCTTCTTTGATTAAGATTAGTTATTAAAAATACATTTTCACTTTAACATGAATTTGTTTTCATAAAATGTTTCCATTACCAGCTTTTCACTAAAGGCATTAACTGTGGAAGTCATACTATAGAATCATAGAATCATAGAATTGTTTAGGTTGGAAAAGACCTTTAAGATCATCGAGTTCAACCACTAACCTAACACTGCCAAGTCCACCACTAAACCATGTCCCTAAGCGCCACGTCTACACATCTTTTAAATATCTCCAGGGATGGTGACTCAATCACTTCCCTGGGCAGACTGTTCCAATGCTTGACAGCGCTTTCAGTGAAGAAATTTTTCCTAATATCCAATCTAAACCTCCTGTGGCGCAACTTGAGGCCATTTCCTCTTGTCCTATTGCTTATTACTTGGGAGAAGAGACTGACACTACCTCGCTACAACCTCCTTTCAGGTAGTTGTAGAGAGCGCTAAGGTCTCCCCTGAACCTCCTTTTCTCCAGGCTAAACAACCCCAGTTCCCTCAGCCGGTCCTCGTAAGACTTGTGCTCTTCACCAGCTTCGTTGCTCTTCTTTGGAAACGCTCCAGCACCTCAATGTCTTGTCGTGAGGGGCCCAAAACTGAACACAGGATTCGAGGTGCGGCCTCACCAATGCTGAGTACTGGGGCACGATCACTTCTCTGTGATTCCCTAATCCTGCTGGCCACACTATTTCTGATACAGGCCAGGATGCCGTTGGCCTTCTTGGCCACCTGGGCACACTGCTGGCTCATGTTCAGCTGGCTGTCGACCAACACCCCCAGGTCCTTTTCCACCAGGCAGCTTTCCAGCCACTAGCTACGAACCACAAACTTTGTGTATTTTTCCTTTACTTATTTTAGCATAGAAAAGTATCGCCAAGTATCTGGCGAGTTCC